GTTTGTTACAAGGAAGCACATGCCAGTCAGCCTAGCATCAATTGTTGGGAAAATGTTGGAATCTATTATTAAGGACATACCAACCATATAGAAATGCGCAATACTATTGGGACAAGTCAGCCTGGTTTTACAAAAGGGAAATCCCAATTGACAATTTATTGGAGTCTTTTTTTGATTGTTTTTGAAATAGATAAAGGGGAACCACTAAATGTAGTATACCTGGATTTTAAAAGGCTTTCGATGAAGAATGGCACCAAGTGGTGCAGTGGTAGTGTCCCTATCCCTGGACCCGGATGCCCAGGTTCAAGTCCCATCTGGTCCAGAAGCGTATAATAACATCTCCCCACAGGTTAATTAGAAAAAAACGGCAAGATAATGAATCAGGAATTGAGGTAAGAGGTCATTTGTTAACACGCAGTAAGCAAAGTAGGTATAAATGGGGAAGGATGTAAGTAGTGGAGTGTTACAAGGATTAGTGCTGGTACCTCAGCTATTTACATTCTAAATTAATGACTCAGATGAGAGACAGGAATGTGTCTATTGTACAGTATATATGTTACTGATGTTACAAAGCCACGCCGAAATGCAAATGAAGGGAGAAGACCAAATGTTCGCAAAGCATTAGAGTTAGGACAGCAAGATGACGGGTGGATTATAAAGTTGGGAACTATGATTTATTCAGTTTGGTCATAAGAATGGACTACAGAATATTTTTTAAAAGGTATGAAATTTGTAAGTCCTGATATTCATAAGCTGAAGCAAAACACTTGTCCTTTATTGCAAAAGGACTGGATTAAAGAAATAAAGATGTCTTGCTAAAACTATCATATTGGGAACATGGTGCAGTTTTAGTCTTCATATTTTAGGAAGGATGTACTTGCATTGGTGCCTACACAGTGAAGGTCCACTAAATTGGCCAAAGGGCTGAGGGGATTGTCTAACAATGAAAGGATGAGCAAATTCAGCACGTCGATCATCCTAACTTCTCAGTTACTGCAGCAGTCCATGTTTAAATGCAGAAGTCTTTGACAATATTCAGGTTTGGGCTGACGAGTGGCAAAAAGCTTTCATACACCACAAGTGCCAGGCAATAACCATGTCTGATTAGAAAGAATCTATCTGTGACCCCTTAACAATGGCATCACCATCTTAGGGGTTATCATTAACCAGAAAATGAACTGAACTAGTCATATAAGGACTATGGTAACAATAGCAGGTCAGACACCAAGAAACCTGCTATGAGTAACTCATCTCCTGTCTCCCCAAAGCCTATCCACTTTCTGCAAGGCACAAGTCAGGAGTGTGATGGTATTCACCTCATTTCTTGGATGACTGCAGCACGTTGGCTCAGTGGTTAGCACTGCAACCTCACAGCGCCAGGGACCCAGGTTCGATTCCAGCCTCAGGTGACTGTCTGTGTGGAGTTTGTACATTCTCCCCGTGTCTGTGTGGGTTTCCTCCCACAGTCCAAAGATGTGCCGGCTAGGTGGATTGGCTATGCTAAATTGCCTGTAGTGTTCAGGGGTGTGTGGGTTATAGGGGGATGGGTCGGGATGGGTCTGGGTGGGATGCTGCAAGGGTCAGTGTGGACTTGTTGGGCAAGGGCCTGTTTCCACACTGTAGGGATTCTAATAATTCATAAGAAGCTTAACACCATCCAGAACAAAGCAGCCTGCTTTATTGACACCACATCCACTCCCTCCGCCACTGATGCTCAGTAGCAGCAGTGTGTACCATCTACAAGATGCACTGCAGAAATTCACCAAGGCTCCTTAGACAGCACCTTCCACGACCACTTCCATCTAGAAAGATAAGGACAGCTGATACATGGGAACACCACCACAAACCACTCACCAGCCTGACTTGGAAATATGTAGCCATTCTTTCAGTGTTGCTGGGTTAAAATCCTGGAATTCCCTCCCTAATGGCATTGAGTCCACTCACAGAACCGCAGTTGGCCCATGAGGTTGCAAGCAAGTATCTCACCACCATCTTCTCAAGGGTAGTTAGGGATGGGAATAAATATTGGCCCACATGATGCACACATCCAGTGAATGATTAAGTATTTTTCTTAAATTGGGTTGATATTGTCTGGCGTCTCAAAGAATGAGATGTGACCTCATTGAAACTTCCAAGATGCTGAGGGGGGTGGTGGGGTTGAGAGGATAGGCACTGAGTCATTGTTGTCCTCAGCTGGTGAATCTAGAACCCGGGGTACAGTCTTTGGATTAAGGGTCAATCATTTAATTTGGAGATGAGGAGAAATTACTTAACACAAAGAAATGTGAATCTTTAGATTTCTCTGTTCCAGAATATTATAGAGTTTTCATTGTTGTATATATTAAGGCTCACACAGATAGATTTGTGGTGTCTCAGGAAATTAAGGGATATCGAGAGTATGTAGGAAGGTAAGTTGAAACCAAGACCAGCAATGAACATATTGTATGGTGGAGCAGACTCAATGGGCCATACATGTTTAATTTCTATGTGCCCTCCTTGGCCCAAGATTGATCACCTGGCTTGATGACCATGACAGATTGAAGGATGTGTTGGGCCATGAGGTTGCAAATTGTGTTTCAGTATATTCTGCTGGTCTGTGGCATCTCATGGATGCTCAGTTGAGTTGCTAGATTTGTTTGACGTTTACCCTATTTCACATGGTGACAGTGGCACACAACATGAAAGAGCAAACTTCCAGGCCAACCCCTTCCTGACCGTATACTGCTGTGAGGCCACCCCGATGGATCTGCCCTGCTGATGGGACAGGACATACCCAAAGATGGTGATGAAGGTGATTGGGATATTGTAAGGCTCTGACAATGGGCCACACCCCCTGACAACCAGACACCACCCCCATAACGAGGCACCACCCTCTGATGACCAGTTACCACCCCCACTCCATGGCAGCCATTAGCATTGTTTTGGGGGCCTATAAAGGGGAGCCAACCACTCTGCTTCTTGGTGCACTGAGAGTGCTGGAAGTTATAGAATGATGGAATCATCGAATTTTACAGTACAAAAGGAGACCATTTGACCCTTCATGTCTGTACCAGGCTCCCAAAAGAGCTACCCGGTTAGTCCTACTCTCCAGCCCTCTAAATTTATCCCTTTCAAATATATATCCAGCTACCTTTTGAAACCTCCAATGGAATCTGCCTCCACTGTCCGAAGCAGTGCATCCCAAATCCTAACCAATCTCACTCCTAGTTGTCTTGCTGACAATCTTGAAATTGTACCCCCTAGTTACTGATCGACCGAGTGGAAACAGAATATCCACCCTTACTCTGTCCAAATTAATCATAATTTTGAACACCTAAATAAAGTTACTTCTTAATCTTCTCTGCTCCAACAATTCATAGAGTCATAGAGATAACAAGGTGTAGAGCTGAATGGGAGGAGGGTAACTTCTTCAGGGTAGGCATCCTTAGAAGAGGCTTTGCAGTGGGGTTAAAATTGTATCAGAGATAGTAGGATCCAGCTCTACACCTTGTTATCTCAGATTCTGCAGCATCTGCAGTTCCTACTATCTCTGAGTCATAGAGATATACAGCGTGGAAACGGAGCCTTTGATCCAATTTATCCATGACAACTAAATATTCTAAATTAATATAGTCCCATCTGCAAGCATTTGGCCCATATGTCTCTAAATCCTTCTAATTCATGTGCCCATCCAAAAGTGGCCTAACCAATGTCCTGTACAACCAAACAATGACCTTACAACTCCTATACTCGACGCAGTGACCAATAAAGGCATACATACCAAATGCTTTCTTCACTACTCTATCTAGCCCAATTTTTCTAATCTTTCGTTGTGTCTAAAATCCTTCATTCCTGGTATCCGTCTCCTTTGAACTCTGTCCAGGGTAGTTGGTTGAAAGCAATGACTTAGATAAGACAGGGCGTGAGTGAACCTGAAAGACTGAGGGCGGCAATAAGTCTCCTTCTGGACAGTTCAGAAAGTGGTACAGTCCCAACGGAAACAGCCAACTGGTGATGCCTGCAGAGTATTTTCTTACAGTTTGTAAAATATAGAAGAGTAGAAGTGTTTGAAACAAAGAAAGGTTCTGGAGTTAATTAAATTCTCATAAAGTGCATAACTAACTTAATCCAGAGAGAAGTCTACAGGAGGCTTCACCCTGCTGGTGTGCTTCTCTGGCACCATGTGGGAAATAAGGGATGCTTCCAATGTCCATGATAACTACGTGTGCAAAAAGTGTATCCAGGGCCTCAAGACCTCAAATGTACTAATCTCAGGATTACAGTGTCACATGCTAGTAAGTGCAGGAATATTTGGTTTGGTCTGGTTTATTACTGTCACGTGTACTGAGGTACAGTGCAGAGTGTTGTCTTACGTGTTTTACAGGTAGATCTTATTACACAAGTGCAGCAGGTTTACAGCTGCCAAGAAGGTGCAGAGATCAACGTTGACATCAAAGAGATCTATTCAAATGTCTGATAACAGCAGAGAAGCTGTTCTTGAATCTTAAATAGAGTACAGATCAGATGAACGTGTGGCTGGAGAAATGGTATACCAGGGAGAGGTTTAGATTCTCGAGGCATTAGAACCATTTCTGGGGAAGGTGGGACCTGTACAAGCTGACAGGTTGTACCTGGGCAGAGCTGTGACAAACATCCTTATAGGGGCTTTTGCTAGGTCTGTTGGAGAGGTTGTAAGGTGGTATGGCAAGCGGATGGGAACCAAAGTGCAGGTTTAGGTCAGTCAGGAACAGATCAGGAAACGAGAGGTAGAACATTAGTTAGTGATATAATTGGCAACTTGGAAAGACAAAAGAAGTGAGGAGTAAAAATGCATCAAGTAAAGGAACTTGATGGAGCTGAGCTCCTAATATTTCAATGCAAAGAGTATTACAAACAAGGAAGATGTCAAGGGACACAACCGCTGGCAACTAGACCACACCCCCTGTTAAGAGGCCACGCCCCCTGGATGTAGGCCACGCCCCTACCGCACCGCCGATCCCAGGATGCAGCGGGACCGGGACGTCAGAGCCTGGCAGCGGTGCGCAGGCGCGGCAGCCGAGGTCTGCGGAGATGGCGAGTTCCCGGCAGAGCCCGAGCCCCCAGCCCGGACCCGGCTCGTCGTCTGCCGCCTCTTCCGGCCCGGGCTGCAGCCGCGCCAACACCAGAGCGTCCAGCACCGCCGGAGGAGGTAGAAAACGGCCCCTGCTCAACGGCCTGGTCAATTCGTATGAGGATAAGAGCAGCGACTTCGTCTGGTGAGGGCCCAGGTTCAGGGGAAAGGAGGGGGTGGGGCTAGAGAGTGGAACTGGGCATTGGGGGGGGGGGGGGAAGGAAGGGGACGGGGGGGAATTAGGGGAACCGGGGGGGGGGGGAGGGGTACAGGGAGAGTGGGGGAGACC